TTAAAGAGCAGATTGTAGAAGAAAGTAGTCGAGTGTGGAAAGTGGTCAGTGTGTCCGCCAGCAGTCTAAGCCTATAGCAGCATAACTAAAGAGATAACTCTGGATAACCTAGCCTTTTAGATGGAGGCATGTTGGAGGCAGGGTAAGGGAGAGCCGTCTTTACCGACTGTACACTCCACCTCCCTCTACTCCCCCACTTGTCCAGATCTAGGCTAAAATCAGATTTTAACCATATGCCCTGTCAAATAAAAATGTTTTAAGCCTAGTCTTACAGTTTTTCTCAATTGTTTACACACATTTTCTGGTACTTGAGACACAATGACCACAACATTTAACCAATTCACCAACCCCCTTAACCAATTCTGCTAAACTACAAGCACAGTTCCTGCTTTGAACTCAAATTGCAAATCTAAATCAAACATTTTTCAAAACACTACACACAATTCTCGATGTTGGCACAATGTTCATTCGGAAATTATCTTGTTTTCACAAGGAACACACTGCTATTCAAATATGCACACTGACACATCACAAGGACAAACACCCATCACACAGTTTTACAATCAGCAATCAGAGCTTTAGCATAAAAGGGGAACAGGTGAGCTCTTCTGTTTTGGAGCAATGGATGTCAACATTGGAAACAGAGGCAGAGCCAGAGGAGTGAGAGTAAGGGAACATCACAATGTGTGCAGCGCTTAGCTACCATGGCATCATCCATCACCGTGCTACCCTTGGCCCCTACAACTTCGCCCATCTGATCACATTCCTGGACACCCTACACAACACACTCATTCCACCAGATCAGGTAGATGGCCCAGAACAGCCCAGGTACGTTGTCATTTGGGACAACCTAAGTTTCCACAGGGCTGCTGTGGTTCGTAGCTGGTTCACTGGCCACCCACGCTTTTTAGTTTATCTCCCTCCATATTCTCCATTCCTCAATCCCATTGAGGAATTTTTTTCTGCCTGGAGATGGAAGGTGTATGACCAACAGCCACAAACCCGTATACCTCTTCTCCAAGCTATGGAGGACACACGTGGAGATACAGCAGCTGATTATTTTTATGGCTGGAATCGCCATGCTAGGAGATATTCCCCCACTGCTTGGCCAGGGACAACATTGCTGGTGATGTGGATGTGGTGCTGTGGCCAGACCACAACAGAAGAGAGGATGCAGCATAGTTTTTTTCTTTTTTACTGTAACTGTGTACAGTAAATTCTTCTGTTGTATGTAGTGTATGAGTGCAACTTTGTGTTGGTTGGGAATGGGATAAGCATTGTGTACAATGTTATGTGGGAAAAATAAAACAATTTTAACCATGTATTTGTGTGTTCAGCGTGTAAAAACAATATTCTGAAATAACAACACATGCATGTATATACTGTCTGTAGTAAGTGTAACACTGAACCAAAAAGGCTTAAGTCATTATGATGAATGGAGAAGACATGTTTTCCATTCATCATAATGTTTTACATTGAGCACATAAGTGTTCTGCTGGTTCTTATAAATGTCTATTCATATGATGGTTTGTGTGTGTCATTTGACAAAAAAATCACATTGTGAGGAGGAATAACATTGTTTTGAATGTGAAGTTGAATTTTGCAGGTTAATTGAGGGGTTTTGCCCATTGCATGTGTTTTTTGGATTTGTGCGTAGAGTTCTGAGAATATGAGGCATGCTTTCAGAAAATGTGTGTAAACAATTGAGAAAAACTGTAAAACTAGACAAGGTGTCTGCCTCATGGACTAAAGCTGGGGGTTGGTTCCACAAGAGAGGAGCCTGATGGATAGCTAAAAGATCTGCCTCCCATCCTATTTTTAGATATTCTGGGAATCACCAGTAAACCTGCAGTCTGAGAGCAAAGTGCTTGGTTAGGAACGTATGGAACAATCAGTTCACTGATGTATGATGGAGCTTGATTATTAAGAGCTTTATATGTGAGAAGGAAGATCTTAAAATCTATTCAGAATTTATCAGGTAGCCAATGTAGGGAAGCTAAGACAGGAGAGATATGATCTCTCTTTGTAATTCTCATCAGAACTCTAGCTGCAGCATTTTGGACAAGCTGAAGACTTTTAACTACATTTTGTGGACTTCCTGAGAGTAATGAATTACAGTAATCCAGTCTTGATGTAATAAATGCATGAACTAGTTTTTCAGCATCACTCCTGGAAAGTATGCTTCTAATCTTAGCAATATTCCGAAGGTGGAAAAAGGAAATCCTAGAAACCTGTTTAACCTGGGATTTGAATAACATGTCCTGGTCGAAAATAACAAGGTTCCTTACTTTGTTCTCGGAGACTAATTTAATGCCATTCAGGTCAGGTGATTGACTAAGCAATTTCCTTTTCTGAATTTCAGATCCAAAGATGAGAACTTCAGTCTTTTCTCGGTTTAAAGTTTTGAGTTATCCAATTTTTTATGTGCTCAAGACAAGCCTGTATCTAACTAACCGATTAGGTTAATCAGGGTTAATGGATAGCTATAACTGAGTATCATCAGCATAGCAGTGGAAGTTTATCCCATGCTGTCTACTGATTTTACCAATTGGGAGCATATATATAGTAAAAAGAATTGGTCCAAGCACTGAACCCTGTGGTACTCCACAAGTAACCCTGGAGTATGAAGAAGATTTGTCATGTACATTTACAAAATGATATCTATCAGACAGGTAGGATTTATACCAGCCTAGCGATGTTCCTTTGATCCCTACAACATGTTCAAGTCTTTCCAAAAGAACATTGTGATCAACTGTGTCAAAGGCAGCACTGAGTTCTAACAAGACTAGAACAGACACAACATTCTTATCTGAGGCCATGAGAATATCATTTGTAACTTCCACTAATGCAGTTTCAGTGCTGTGATACTCTCTAAAACCAGACTGAAATTCCTCAAACAGCATTAGTGTTTAAATGCTCACATATTTGGTTTGGTTGGCCACTATTTTCTCAAGGACTCTGGATAAAAATGGAAAGTTAGATGTTGGTCTATAATTCATTGGGTCATCTGGATCCAAAAAAGGTTTCTTAAGTAACAGTTTGATTACAGCAACTTTAAAATCCTGTGGTGCGTATCCATTTACTAAGGATAGATTGATTATATCTAGAATGGGGGCAGTAACCAAAGGAAATGCATCTTTAAATAATTTGGTTGGGATTGGATCCAAAATGCAAGTAGGTTTAGATGAAGGTAATGTATTTGATAACTCTGAAAGCTCAACTGGATCAAAATGGTTCAAACACAGATGAGGTTCTACAGTTACCTTTGATGCTGCCTCACTTACTGAGGGAGAAAAAAATCACATTAGGGAGGATTCTAATTGTTTTGTTTCTAATAGAATCTATTTTACTTGTGAAAAATCCCATGAAGTTGTTGCTGCTGAGGGCTAAGGGAATAGATGGTACAGAGCTATGATTCTGTGTAAGTTTGGCAACTGTTTTAACACACCAATAAAAGATGTAAATTAAAAGATGTGAGATGACTTTGGGAGGAGACTAAATAACAACCTAACAAATCCTGGGACAGGAAACGTTCCTCACTCCTGGGGTGGTGGGTTGCTGTGCTCAGCGTTGGGCAGGGGAGCCTGCTCATCAATACCCCAGCAGAAAAGGTCAAACTCTGGTAACCGGTAATGGTTGTACCCCATGTGCAGCAGTACCAGGACCAGAGTGAATAGGGTGTGTATGGGGAGCATGAGTGGGTGTCCGGCGTGCAATTTTGTAAGTCTTTGGTTGTATGTGTATGTGTGAGCATGAGGGAGGGAGTGTGTGACTGTGTTTGTGTATGACTGTATATGTCAGGTGGGGCCTTTGACTCCTCCCTTCTCCTGGGAATTCTTTTGATGATATAGATCTTCGTCTCCCCTCCCCCTGCCACACCTGGTGTGGAGTGTGGTGCCTTGGTGTGCCTGAGTGTTCGTGGCTCCCAGGTCAGGGGGTTTAAGATTTTTGGCGTCTGCCTGATCAATCCCGCTAGCTGTCTAATTGGGTCTGGGTCCATGGGCTCTGCTGGGTCCCCGGCGGGGGTGGTCGCCCCTGAGTCCCGGGTCGCTGGGTCCCGAGCTCGGATGGCTAGGGGGTGGGAGTCTGTGGGCGGACCTGTGGGCTTGCTGCTGATATCTCCCGGGACTCTGCCGGCTGCTGGTTGTGGCCCCCCGAGGAGATCCTCTGTGCCTCTCGAGGGGGGCGGGGGCCTTTCTGGTTGCAGTCTTCTTGGGGTTCCTGTGTTCTGGGGCAGCACTTGGATCTCTGGGACTTAAAGCTCCCTCCGTCTCCTACACATCTTTGGGGGGCAGATCTGTGGTCCCTCACACTCTCTGTTGGACATTTTTATAGAGAAACCTTACATAAACAAGCGTGTGTACACACACAGGTGCTCACATGGTCCTCTCATAAGTATGGACTTGGGCACGTTCAACACATGTCTTAAGGCTGTCGTTGCCACTAAATGTACTGTGATTTATTATCGTGTGATTGTTCAGTTAAACAATGTTGATTTTATATTTCATCATCAGGCTGACGCAGTGATAGCTTGCTCCTGATGTATTGTTGTGTGTCCCATTTTTTTCTATTCTTTCTATTTTTTTCTATTCTGCTCTAGAAGCAGACTCTTGTTCATTATTGTTTATTTTTGTGGACCCCCCACCCCCCCTCCCCCACCTCTTTCCCCACCTTTTGTCTTTTCCTTTCTCTTTCACCTCTGTCTCCGTGTCTGGTCGGAATGACAAAGCATTCAAAAACAATAACAATTAAGTTTTAAGTATCAGGCGTGACATTTAAAGCAGACGCTTTGATGCTCCACCTGAGCGTAAATCTGTAAGGCTTGTCTTCAGCATTCAGACATCAATTCTGTTTGCTTCACAGCCTGACAGGACACGAGGAGAAAAAAATAATAATAAGGAAACGTTCGTCACCGCCATCTCCACCAGCGAACACTAAAGAAATGAGCTTGTTTCTAACCTGAAGGGTTTGTGTGAGACCAGAGGAAACTAGAGGCTTACCACACATCGGATGGATCGTTGAATTCTCACATAGGATGAAATGATCTGTTAAAAATATGAACTAAATCAGATGTTTTATAGTTTCATAAACAGTCATGATGCTTTCATCTGAGAAGCTGCTGCAGTAAAATAAAAAAGAACCTACTTGTACCGAAAGCTTCACAAAACATCTGTGGATGAAAAAAACAAAGAGTCAGACCCAGAATGAAGCCAGTAGAAAAACATTTCTATGTGAACTGGTTGGACTGGTGGAGCTGGGAGCTCTAAGATAAGTCATTGGTGTTATTTTAAATCTGAGCGTTTAGCTGAAAGAGGATCGTTTGTGAAACATGAACGAAGCTTCTGCTTCGTTGGTTTTAAACACGTTTCATTGGTTCGTTTCTCATCAGGTCATCATGAGAAAATAAATCAACCAAAGTCACATTCATGCTGATTATTTAACTACAGAAGAACTTCTGCTGACTCACATTTCCGAGGAGCAGCAGGAAGAGCAGACGTGACGTCATCTGGGTAGAACGTGTCATTTTAGTGTTCAGGAGGAAAATCCACATTAAAAGACTTTTCTAAAAACTCTGACGTGGATATCATCACTAGCAGTAACAGCTGATGAAGAGAGGTCAGGTTTTACCTTGTTGTGATGAATCCAAGCAGCAGCAGCAGCAGTCTCTGGGTGAAGGATGCCTTCCTGAATTAAACACAGAGTTTATAGATGTTTGCTCCAGCTGGTGGACCTGTCTGTCACTGATGAAATCTGATTAGATAAACATGAAGACCATGGGGCAAACACACCCAACCCTAACCCAGCTAGTACTGGGACTGGTCAATGTGGGTCAGCAGCAATGACCACACCTGAAGCCGCTTCACGTATCTGACTTCACCAGCCCAGCAGGTTGGATCTGTTGCAACACGATGCTGAGGTTTTCTAAGATAAGGTTTAGGTCAGCTGTTCTGTTGTTGACAAGAAGCCATTAGTATAATCTGGGTTATAATCTGCGTTTTGCAGCATTTTACATCCAGCACTAAATGTTGGTTTCTACATGACTTAAATCTGCAGATCCAGGACGGAAACCACAACACCCATCTCCATGTCCACATTCTCCAGTTCCCTCAGTCTAATCCAGATTTTATTATCACTCCAACAGTCGGTGTAGTCTCTGTTGGATCTCAGACACCCCTGCACTGCTGACACCTCATACCCACCGCACAGACACCAGCCACATGCCCAAAGCCCTGACACCGGAAGCACCTCAGAGGAAGCTCCTCAAACGTTCTGACCGAAAAGCTGAGATAGCCCAACATGACACGGGCAGGCAGCTCCACCGCATCAAAAGTAATTAACAGTGGAGTGGATCCACGGGCGTCAAATCCCAGACACCAAACAGCTACCACCGCCGCCCCACCCAGGGAGGTAAACACGTCCGATTCAGAAACCTCGTTGGACACGCCGTATACCACCCCCCTAACCAAAACACCCTAACACAACCCAGAAACCGGCACTCCCACCGCCAAAGACGTCTCAATTCAATTCAATTCAATTTTATTTATAAAGCGCCAAATCACGACAAGAGTCGTCTCAAGGCACTTCACATAATAAACATTCCAATTCAGGTCAGTTCATTAAGCCAATCAGAAATAATGTTTCCTATATAAGAAACCCAGCAAATTGCATCAAGTCACTGACTAGTGTCAGTGACTTGATGCAATCCTCATACTAAGCAAGCATTAAGCGACAGTGGAGAGGAAAACTCCCTTTTAACAGGAAGAAACCTCCAGAGAATCCTGGCTCAGTATAAGCAGCCATCCTCCACGACTCACTGGGGATCGAGAAGACAGAGTAGACACACACACACACACACACACACACACACACACACACACACACACACACACACACACACACACACACACACACACACACACACACACACACACGACAAAGTAATGTGTCTATAGTTATATTGTGATTTCTTAGTAAATATTCTATTTGGTGAGAGATAAACATTATTGTATTTATCCTAGTGGATGTAAAGAAAATTTTGGCTGGCTCAGCCATATTGTAATAAGACATTGGCTGGCTTAGCCATATTGTAAGGAGAAACTGTCTTTACTCAGTTTTATTGTAGCGTTGTGGTTTTAGGCTTTTTTATGAAAGAGGAACCATGCTACGTATTAATTCGGAATATTAATTTTAATAAATCAATAACCAAATTTTATATTGTTAAGAAGACTCAAAGGTTGTTTTCATCGATAAACTGACGATAATATCTGTGCGTCTGTGTTTCAGTTCAATGAGGAAACCAGTTTGACAATTGAAAGTTTTAATTCTTCAAATTAAACTAATGATTTTGAAAATTGACAAACAGGAAATAACAATCAACATTGGCAACTTTGTGGGACAATCTTTAACAGTTGATATGCTGTTCTTGCTCAAATAGACCTTCTGTCTGTGAATGAAGATTGAGAGTGATATGATGTGATTATGGATGCGTGTGTGTGCAAAGTGTTGTGAGAATTGAACATGAGGTGAGATGGATGCGTGTGTGTATCTGATTTTGCTTCAGGAAGAACAGGTGTCTGAGTGAAGTGATGGTTTGGATAAACTTAGGTCTTATCAGAGAACTGCATCAAATGCTAAACACCGTGCTCTGTCTCACCGAACTCTTGTGGACCCTCTTTCGGATCCGGGCTGTGGAGGATGTTGTGGTTCATCCAGATGACACCGGCGGCTGACAGGGGAGACGTAGGTGTCGAACGGAACCGGTCCAGAGTTGCCCTCGGTACACGTGGGTGGTAGAGCGTTTTGTCGATGCGCTTTCTTAAGTTAATTCACTCAGAAATCAAAAGACTCGGTAATGAGTCTGCGTTAGAAGTCGCGATTCAGCTGTCCTGTCTGGCTTGGCAGTGTGGTGTATTGTACTGTAATGTACATGCTGTTATGACGGTGATCACTAGGGGGCACTAGTGTCACGTGTTACTGTTGAGGTTAAAGAGTTGAGGCTGGAAGTAAAAGTTTGCTGGACCTAAACAGCTGTGTCTCAGTGTTTAATTACCTAGTAGAAAACCTACAGAAGACCTAAGGAGACCAGGTAACACAACATGGTGTCAGAAGTTTGGCTGCCAAGAGAACAGAGACAACGGTTTGAGTAAGCTAGGTGAATTAGCATCGGGGCTAACGTCTGCTACCAAGAAGATAAAATGGAGCAGTTTAGGCCGCCGTCTCCACTCAGTCTTGTCGGCAATCTATCTGAGGCATGGCGCAGGTGGGAACAGAGGTTCCAGCTCTACATGATAGCCACTGGCGCATCAGAAAAGGAGGAAGAGGTAAAAATAGCCATTCTTCTTCACACTATCGGCGAGGAGGCCTTAGAAGTGTACAACACACTCAACATTACCCCAGCCGGAGATGCACTCACAGTGGAGGAGGTCCTGAAAGCATTCAAAACATACTGTAGCCCGCAGAAGAATGTGGTTTTTGAACGTCATCAATTCTGGTCATACCCAATGTCACCAGGAATTGTGGTGGACAGGTACATTACTGAACTGCGTCAAAAAAGCAAGGACTGTGAGTTTGGTCAAAATGTAGATGATATGATCAGAGATAAGCTGGTGTTCAGCATAAATGACTCTCGTCTGAAAGAGAGACTGCTTCGCGACAAAGACCTTACTCTGAACAAAGCCATTGAAATCTGCAGGTCAGCGGAAGCAGCAAAGACACAGATCCAAGCAATGCAATTGAACCCAGTAGTCCAGGACGCTTCAGTGGACACGTTGAAGAAAACCCCCCATAACCTAAGACCAGGACAAGGTAGAATTAAAGCCAGCAACAAACAGACAGTTTGTACCAAGTGCGGAATTAAACATGAACCAAGAAAATGTCCGGCGTATGGAGAAACATGCCACAAGTGCAAGAAAAAAAATCACTTCTCAAAGTTGTGCAGATCCAACATTGACAAGGACAAGCCATACACAAAAACAAAGATGGTGAATAACTTGGAAGCTGACATGGACACCCTGTACATAGGTGTGGTGAGCAGTGACAAGAATGAGACAAATTGTTGGAAAGAAACAGTCACAATAAGGAAAGTGCCAATCGTTTTCAAGCTAGACACAGGTGCTGATGCAAATGTGCTTCCCATGCAGGTTTACCACAAAATACCAGGTCCTGTTCAGCTTCCATCTAAAAAGACTGTGCTGATAGCTTTTGGTGGAGCTCGTATAAGTGCTGAAGGTATTGTGTCTCTTGATTGTGTAACTAGCAAAGGTAGTGCTGTGCTCGACTTCCTTGTGTCCAGGCAAGCGGACAAAGCCATCTTAGGTGGGCAGGCATGTGAGGAGCTGCAACTGGTGAAAAGAGTGGATGTGCTCACACCCAAGTCACACAAGCTGGACAAGCTACCAACAACAAAAGAAGAATTGGTGGAAAAATATGCTGAGGTGTTCACAGGTTTAGGTGAGTTCCCTGGACTTCATCACATATACATCGACCCAGAAGCCACACCTGTCATTCATACATGCAGAAATGTGCCTCTCTCTAAAATGGACTCACTCAAAAAGACTCTAAAACGCTTACAGGACAGAGAAGTAATAACACCTGTCAATGAGCCCACAGATTGGGTGAATAGTCTAGTTGCCACTCAAAAGAAGAATGGTACACTTAGGGTGTGTTTGGACCCTGGTGACCTGAATCGGGCAATCAAACGGCAGCATTACTCCATCCCCACATATGAGGATGTCCGGAGCAGGCTGGCAGGTAAATCTATCTTCACCATTTTGGATGAGAAGGACGGATACTGGCAGATTAAGTTAGATGAGTCATCTTCAAAGCTATGCACCTTCAACACGCCATGGGGCCGGTACCGCTTCTTAAGGCTTCCATTTGGAATCAAATCAGCCAGTGAAGTTTTTCAGCAGAAGAACTGTGAAACATTTGGTGACATACCTGGTGTTTTCATTATTGCTGATGATATGATCATAGCAGCGGAAACAGAATCAGAACATGACAACATCTTACAAAAGGTCATGGAGAGGGCGAAAGAGGTGAATGTGAGGTTCAACAAGGATAAGATCCAGTTCAAAGTGGACACTGAAATACATGGGGCACATCATCACAGCAGCAGGACAGAAAGCTGATGACACAAAGATCAAAGCCATCGTTGACATGCCCACTCCAGAGGACAAGCAAAGTCTCCAACGTTTGCTAGGAATGACCAAGTTTTTGGCACAATACATTCCAAATGAGGCAACACTCACGGCACCATTAAGAGAGCTACTGAAAAAGAACACTGTCAGGCAGTGGCAACCACACCACAGTGAGGCGCTGCAAACACTTAAGACTGCCCTCACACAGGCACCCGTTCTAAACTTCTTTGACAGCAAGAAACCGTTAACTCTACAAGCAGATTCCTCAAAGGATGGACTGGGAGCATGCTTGCTACAAGAAGGTCACCCTGTGTGCTATGCATCTCGTGCATTAACAGACACTGAGAAAAGATATGCACAAATAGAAAAAGAGTTGTTGGCAATAGTGTTTGCCACTAAGAGATTTCACCAATATGTGTATGGAAGGCCAGTGATGGTTCTGTCAAATCACAAACCTCTTGAAGTGATCATGCGCAAACCGTTATGCAAAGCCCCAGCACGGCTGCAAGGAATGCTACTTCAACTACAGAGGTACAATCTCACTGCGACTTACACACCTGGCAAACAGATGCACATTG